GACAGGGGGAGTCAGTCTGCGGTGTGAGTGGACTAGTGACAGGGGGAGTCAGTCTGCAGTGTGAGTGGACTAGTGACAGGGAGAGTCAGTCTGCGGTGTGAGTGGACTAGTGACAGGGGAGTCAGTCTGCAGTGTGAGTGGACTAGTGACAGGGGGAGTCAGTCTGCAGTGTGAGTGGACTAGTGACAGGGGAGTCAGTCTGCGGTGTGAGTGGACTGGTGACAAGGGGAGTCAGTCTGCAGTGTGAGTGGACTGGTGACAGAGGAGTCAGTCTGCAGTGTGAGTGGACTGGTGACAAGGGGAGTCAGTCTGCAGTGTGAGTGGACTGGTGACAGGGGGAGTCAGTCTGCGGTGTGAGTGGACTAGTAACAGGGGGAGTCAGTCTGCGGTGTGAGTGGACTGGTGACAGGGGGAGTCAGTCTGTAGTGTGAGTGGACTGGTGACAGGAGGAGTCAGTCTGCGGTGTGAGTGGACTAGTGACAGGGGGAGTCAGTCTGCAGTGTGAGTGGACTAGTGACAGGGGGAGTCAGTCTGCAGTGTGAGTGGACTGGTGACAGGGGGAGTCAGTCTGCGGTGTGAGTGGACTGGTGACAGGGGGAGTCAGTCTGCAGTGTGAGTGGACTAGTGACAGGGGGAGTCAGTCTGCAGTGTGAGTGGACTAGTGACAGGGGGAGTCAGTCTGCAGTGTGAGTGGACTGGTGACAGGGGGAGTCAGTCTGCAGTGTGAGTGGACTAGTGACAGGGGGAGTCAGTCTGCAGTGTGAGTGGACTAGTGACAGGGGGAGTCAGTCTGCGGTGTGAGTGGACTAGTGACAGGGGGAGTCAGTCTGCGGTGTGAGTGGACTAGTGACAGGGGGAGTCAGTCTGCGGTGTGAGTGGACTAGTGACAGGGGGAGTCAGTCTGCAGTGTGAGTGGACTGGTGACAGGGGGAGTCAGTCTGCAGTGTGAGAGGACTAGTGACAGGGGAGTCAGCTGTGAGTGTGAGTGGACTAGTGACAGGGGGAGTAGTGACAGGGGGAGTCAGTCTGCGGTGTGAGTGGACTGGTGACAGGGGGAGTCAGTCTGCAGTGTGAGAGGACTGGTGACAGGGGGAGTCAGCTGTGAGTGTGAGTGGACTAGTGACAGGGGGAGTAGTGACAGGGGGAGTCAGTCTGCGGTGTGAGTGGACTGGTGACAGGGGGAGTCAGTCTGCAGTGTGAGTGGACTGGTGACAGGGGGAGTCAGTCTGCGGTGTGAGTGGACTGGTGACAGGGGGAGTCAGTCTGCAGTGTGAGTGGACTAGTGACAGGGGGAGTCAGTCTGCAGTGTGAGTAGACTAGTGACAGGGGGAGTCAGTCTGCGGTGTGAGTGGACTAGTGACAGGGGGAGTCAGCCTGCAGTGTGAGTGGACTGGTGACAGGGGGAGTCAGTCTGCGGTGTGAGTGGACTGGTGACAGGGGAGTCAGTCTGCGGTGTGAGTGGACTGGTGACAGGGGGAGTCAGTCTGCAGTGTGAGTGGACTAGTGACAGGGGGAGTCAGTCTGCGGTGTGAGTGGACTGGTGACAGGGGAGTCAGTCTGCGGTGTGAGTGGACTGGTGACAGGGGGAGTCAGTCTGCGGTGTGAGTGGACTGGTGACAGGGGAGTCAGTCTGCGGTGTGAGTGGACTAGTGACAGGGGGAGTCAGTCTGCGGTGTGAGTGGACTGGTGACAGGGGGAGTCAGTCTGCAGTGTGAGTGGACTGGTGACAGGGGAGTCAGTCTGCGGTGTGAGAGGACTAGTGACAGGGGAGTCAGTCTGCAGTGTGAGTGGACTGGTGACAGGGGAGTCAGTCTGCGGTGTGAGTGGACTAGTGACAGGGGGAGTCAGTCTGCAGTGTGAGTGGACTGGTGACAGGGGAGTCAGTCTGCGGTGTGAGTGGACTGGTGACAGGGGAGTCAGTCTGCGGTGTGAGTGGACTAGTGACAGGGGGAGTCAGTCTGCAGTGTGAGTGGACTGGTGACAGGGGAGTCAGTCTGCAGTGTGAGTGGACTGGTGACAGGGGAGTCAGTCTGCGGTGTGAGAGGACTGGTGACAGGGGGAGTCAGTCTGCAGTGTGAGTGGACTAGTGACAGGGGGAGTCAGTCTGCAGTGTGAGTGGACTGGTGACAGGGGAGTCAGTCTGCAGTGTGAGTGGACTGGTGACAGGGGAGTCAGTCTGCGGTGTGAGTGGACTAGTGACATGGGGAGTCAGTCTGCAGTGTGAGTGGACTGGTGACAGGGGAGTCAGTCTGCAGTGTGAGTGGACTAGTGACAGGGGAGTCAGTCTGCAGTGTGAGTGGACTAGTGACAGGGGAGTCAGTCTGCAGTGTGAGTGGACTAGTGACAGGGGGAGTCAGTCTGCGGTGTGAGTGGACTGGTGACAGGGGGAGTCAGTCTGCAGTGTGAGTGGACTAGTGACAGGGGAGTCAGTCTGCGGTGTGAGTGGACTGGTGACCACGAGAGGCCTCCACAGGTGCTGCTCGCTAACAGCACTTGCCCCTGCAGTCTGTTAAGGCTATACGGGGATCTTTGTCTTTATCTTTGTGTGTAGGTGTGTGTGTATGTGTGCGCGTGTGTGTACGTGTGTGTGTGTACATGTGTGTAGGTGTGTGTGTCACTGTGTGTATCACTATGTGTGTGTACCACTGTGTGTATGTGTGTCACTGTGTGTGTACCACTGTGTGTGTGTGTGTCACTGTGTGTGTGTGTCTGTGTGTAGTCTTCCAAGGACTACATGCGTGTGTGTGTCACTGTGTGTGTGTGTCTGTGTGTCACTGTGTGTGTGTCACTGTGTGTGTGTGTCACTGTGTGTGTGTCACTGTGTGTGTGTGTCACTGTGTGTGTGTCACTGTGTGTGTGTGTGTCACTGTGTGTGTGTACTGTTTACTGTGTGTGTGTACTGTGTGTACTGTGTACACACAGTACACAGCAGGTTGGCACAGTAGGGGGCACAGGTGGTGCATCAGCCAGTCATCTCAGTCAGTCGACCCGTGGCACCTGGGTCTGCCCCGTGACCTCCTGCCAGCGGGCGTTCGACACTTCACGTGGCCTCAGGGTGCACATAGCCTGGCACAAGCGTCGTGGTGACGTCACCGCCACTTAGTGGCGAATGGCGGTTGTTGTTGTACTGTGTGTGTGTCACTGTGTGTCTGTGTGTGTGTAGTGTGTGTCTGTGTGTGTGTACTGTGTGTGTGTCACTGTGTGTCTGTGTGTGTGTACTGTGTGTGTCTGTGTGTGTGTACTGTGTGTGTGCATCATTGTGTGTATCACTGTGTGTGTCACTGTGTGTGTGTACTGTGTGTGTACTGTGTACTGTGTGTGTGTACTGTGTGTGTGTACTGTGTGTGTCACTGTGTGTACTGTGTACTGTGTGTGTGTACTGTGTGTGTACTGTGTGTGTGTCTGTGTGTACTGTGTGTGTCTGTGTGTACTGTGTGTGTGTACTGTGTGTGTGTACTGTGTGTGTACTGTGTATCACTGTGTGTGTACTGTGTGTGTGTACTGTGTGTGTCTGTGTGTCACTGTGTGTGTCACTGTGTGTACTGTGTGTGTCACTGTGTGTGTCACTGTGTGTGTGTCACTGTGTGTGTGTCACTGTGTGTGTGTCACTGTGTGTGTGTGTGTCACTGTGTGTCACTGTGTGTGTGTCACTGTGTGTCACTGTGTACTGTGTGTCTGTGTGTGTGTGTCACTGTGTGTGTGTCACTGTGTGTGTCACTGTGTACTGTGTGTGTGTCACTGTGTGTGTCACTGTGTGTGTCACTGTGTGTCACTGTGTACTGTGTGTCTGTGTGTGTGTGTCACTGTGTGTGTCACTGTGTGTGTGTCACTGTGTGTGTCACTGTGTGTGTGTCACTGTGTGTGTCACTGTGTACTGTGTGTCTGTGTGTGTGTGTCACTGTGTGTGTGTCACTGTGTGTGTGTCACTGTGTGTGTGTCACTGTGTGTGTGTGTCACTGTGTGTGTGTCACTGTGTGTGTGTCACTGTGTGTCACTGTGTACTGTGTGTCTGTGTGTGTGTGTCACTGTGTGTGTGTCACTGTGTACTGTGTGTGTGTCTGTGTGTGTGTGTCACTGTGTACTGTGTGTCTGTGTGTGTGTGTCACTGTGTCACTGTGTGTGTGTCACTGTGTGTGTGTGTCACTGTGTGTGTGTCACTGTGTGTCACTGTGTACTGTGTGTCACTGTGTGTGTGTGTCACTGTGTGTGTCACTGTGTGTGTGTCACTGTGTGTGTCACTGTGTGTGTGTCACTGTGTGTGTGTCACTGTGTGTGTCACTGTGTACTGTGTGTCTGTGTGTGTGTGTCACTGTGTGTGTGTCACTGTGTGTGTGTGTCACTGTGTGTGTGTCACTGTGTGTGTGTCACTGTGTGTCACTGTGTACTGTGTGTCTGTGTGTGTGTGTCACTGTGTGTGTGTCACTGTGTACTGTGTGTGTGTCTGTGTGTGTGTGTCACTGTGTACTGTGTGTCTGTGTGTGTGTGTCACTGTGTCACTGTGTGTGTGTCACTGTGTACTGTGTGTGTGTGTCACTGTGTGTGTGTCACTGTGTGTCACTGTGTACTGTGTGTCACTGTGTGTGTGTGTCACTGTGTGTGTCACTGTGTGTGTGTCACTGTGTGTGTCACTGTGTGTGTGTCACTGTGTGTGTGTCACTGTGTGTGTCACTGTGTACTGTGTGTCTGTGTGTGTGTCACTGTGTGTGTGTCACTGTGTGTGTGTGTCACTGTGTGTGTGTCACTGTGTGTGTGTCACTGTGTGTCACTGTGTACTGTGTGTCTGTGTGTGTGTGTCACTGTGTGTGTGTCACTGTGTACTGTGTGTGTGTCTGTGTGTGTGTGTCACTGTGTACTGTGTGTCTGTGTGTGTGTGTCACTGTGTCACTGTGTGTGTGTCACTGTGTACTGTGTGTGTGTGTCACTGTGTGTGTGTCACTGTGTGTCACTGTGTACTGTGTGTCACTGTGTGTGTGTGTCACTGTGTGTGTGCTGAGTCTTACCCCTCCATGCCAGTTGTGAGGGGGTCCAATGCTACGACTGTATTCACGCATATAGTCCTTGTAAGACTACACACAGTGACACACACACACAGTGACACACACACACAGTGACACTCACACAGTGACACTCACACACACAGTGACACACACACACAGTGACACACACACACAGTGACACACACACAGTGACACACACACAGTGACACAGTGACACACAGTGACACACACACAGTGACACACACACACAGTGACACACACACACACAGTGACACACACAGTGACACACACACACACACAGTGACACACACACAGTGACACACACACAGTGACACACACACAGTGACACTCACACAGTGACACACACACACACAGTGACACACACACACAGTGACACACACACACAGTGACACACACACAGTGACACTCACACAGTGACACACACACAGTGACACACACACACACAGTGACACACACACACACAGTTACACAGTGACACACACACTCACACAGTGACACACACACACACAGTTACACAGTGACACACACACTCACACAGTGACACACACACACACAGTTACACAGTGACACACACACTCACACAGTGACACACACACACACAGTTACACAGTGACACACACACTCACACAGTGACACACACACACACACTTACACACTGACACACACACTCACACAGTGACACACACACACACAGTTACACAGTGACACACACACTCACACAGTGACACACACACACACAGTTACACAGTGACACACACACTCACACAGTGACACACACACTCACACAGTGACACAGTGACACACACACTCACACAGTTACACACACAGTGACACACACACACAGTGACACACACACACAGTGACACACACACACAGTGACACACACACACAGTGACACACACAGTGTACACACACACACACACACAGTGACACACACACTCACACAGTGACACAGTGACACACACACTCACACAGTTACACACACAGTGACACACACACACAGTGACACACACACAGTGACACACACACACAGTGACACACACACAGTGACACTCACACAGTGACACAGTGACACACACACAGTGACACACACACAGTGACACACACTCACACAGTGACACACACACAGTGACACAGTGACACACACACAGTGACACACACACAGTGACACACACTCACACAGTGACACACACACAGTGACACAGTGACACACACACACAGTGACACACACACAGTGACACAGTGACACACACACAGTGACACACACACAGTGACACACACTCACACAGTGACACACACACAGTGACACAGTGACACAGTGACAAACACACAGTGACACACACACAGTGACACACACTCACACAGTGACACACACACAGTGACACAGTGACACACACACAGTGACACACACACACAGTGACACACACACAGTGACACAGTGAGACACACACACACAAAGATCCCCCATATAGCCTGTAACAGACTGTAGGGGCAAGTGCTGTTAGCGAGCACACACACAGTGACACACACAGTGACACACATACAGTGACACACACTCACCTACACAAAGATAAAGACAAAGATCCCCCATATAGCCTGTAACATACTGTAGGGGCAAGTGCTGTTAGCGAGCACCTATGAAGGCCGGAACGGTACACGAGGGGGTGGGTGGCCAGCACCACGCCCGACCGCCTTTGTCTCCCCAGTGGCGATGTTTACTACACACCACACCAGGTACTCATTTGAGGCTGAGTCGACAGGTTCATAGCGCAGCGTAGCGCTAACCACTACACTACCGCTCCCCACACACACACACACAGTGACACACACATCCACACACACACACTCAGTACTCACCCCACTCAGTAATATCTCCCTTCGAACGCCTCCAAAGCGCCTGACAGGAGACACGAGAGACAATTTTACTGGTGGTACCCCCTGGGTAAGATGGCCAACCTCAACCCCCTAGGTAAGATGGCCAACCTCACCACCCCTAGGGAAGATGGCCAACCTCAACCCCCCTAGGTAAGATGATCAACCTCACCACCCCTAGATAAGATGGCCACCCTCAACCCCCCTCGGTCAGATGGCCAACCTCAACCCCCTAGGTAAGATGGCCACCCTCAACCCCCTAGGTAAGATGGCCACCCTCAACCCCCCTCGGTCAGATGGCCAACCTCAACCCCCTAGGTAAGATGGCCACCCTCAACCCCCTAGGTAAGATGGCCAGCCTCACCACCCCTAGGTAAGATGGCCACCCTCACCCCCCCCCCCCCCCAGGTAAGATGGCCACCCTCATCCCCCTAGGTAAGATGGCCACCCTGTTGTGTGATTGGGGGAATGAATTAAGAGTCTGGGTCAGAGACGGGGGTCAGGGTGCAGTGTCAGGGCCAGCCTCACCGCTCCATGTCGCTGTAGGTCATGTAGCTACCTGTGGGACACAGGGTCAGCCGGTCAGTCCACAGAGTAGAGTATAGTGTATAGTAGTGTAGTGTATAGTGGGTATAGTGTAGTGTGTAGTGTAGTGTAGCGTGTAGTGGTGTAGCTACCTGTGGGACACAGGGTCAGCCGGTCAGTCCACAGAGTATAGTGTATAGTAGTGTAGTGTATAGTGTAGTGTATAGTGTAGTGTATAGTGTAGTGTATAGTATAGTATAGTGTATAGTAGTGTAGTGTATAGTAGTATAGTGTATAGTGTGTATAGTGTAGTGTGTAGTGTAGTGTAGCATGTAGTGGTGTAGCATGTCACTGTAGGTCATGTAGCTACCTGTGGGACACAGGGTCAGCCGGTCAGTCCACAGAGTAGTGTATAGTGTATAGTAGTGTAGTATGTAGTATATAGTGTAGTATATAGTAGTGTAGTATGTAGTGTATAGTGTAGTATGTAGTATATAGTGTAGTAAATAGTAGTGTAGTATGTATAGTATGTAGTATATAGTAGTGTATAGTATATAGTATGTAGTGTATAGTAGTGGTGTATAGTATATAGTAAATAGTTGTGTAGTAGTATATAGTGTATGTAATGTAGTGTATAGTGTAGTGTACATCACCATATCTGGCTGCATAGTGTATAGTATATAGTAGTGTATAGAGTAGTAGTGTATAGTATATAGTAGTGTATAGTATATAGTAGTGTATAGTAGTGTAGTGTATAGTATAGTGTAGTATATAGTAAATAGTGTAGTGTATTATGTAGTGTAGTGTACATCACCGTGTCTGGCTGTATAGTATATAGTGTTGTGTATAGTATATAGTAGTATGTAGTATAGTATGTAGTAGTGTATGTACTGTAGTGTATAATGTAGTGTACATCACCGTCTCTGGCTGCATTGTATATAGTGTAGTAGTGTATAGTATATAGTAGTGTATAGTGTAGTAGTATATAGTGTATGTAGTATAGTAAGTAGTATAGTATGTAGTGTACTGTACATCACCGTGTCTGGCTGCATAGTATATAGTATGTAGTGTATAGTAGTATGTGGTGTATGGTAGTGTAGTGTATAGTAGTGTATGGTAGTGTAGTATATAGTAGTATATAGTAGTGTATATAGTGTAGTGTACATCACCGTGTCTGGCTGCATAGTATATAGTAAGTAGTATAGTGTACATAGTATAGTAGTGTATAGTATATAAATAGTGTATAGTAGTAAATAGTAGTAGTGTATAGTGTAGTGTATTATGTATAGTATATAGTAGTGTATGTAGTGTATAATGTAGTGTACATCACTGTGTCTGGCTGCATAGTCTATAGTGTATAGTATATAGTATGTAGTATAGTATATAGTATAGTGTAGTAGTGTATAGTACATCACCGTGTCTGGCTGCATAGTGTATAGTGTAGTAGTGTATAGTATATAGTGTAGTGTATAGTGTAGTGTGTAGTGTATAGTATATAGTGTAGTGTATAGTGTATATAGTGTAGAGTGTAGTGTATAGTGTAGTGTGTAGTGTAGAGTGTAGTGTATAGTGTAGTAGTGTATAGTGTAGTGTATAGTGTATTGTATATAGTGTGTAGTGTATAGTGTAGTGTATATTGTAGTGTATAGTGTAGTGTATAGTGTAGTGTATAGTAGTGTAGTGTATAGTAGTGTAGAGTATAGTAGTGTAGTGTATAGTGTAGTGTATAGTGTAGTGTATAGTGTAGTGTATAGTGTAGTGTATAGTGTGTAGTGTATAGTGTAGTGTATAGTGTAGTGTATAGTATATAGTGTAGTGTATAGTGTAGTGTATAGTAGTGTATAGTGTAGTGTAGTGTGTAGTGTATAGTGTAGTGTATAGTGTAGTGTATAGTGTAGTAGTGTATAATATAGTGTAGTGTATAACGTAGTGTACAGTGTATAGTACACCACCGTGTCTGGCTGCATATTCTTGGCGTTGTCGCTTGCGGCTTGGGAGGTCATCAGCCTCGTCCTCGTAGACACGGCGCCTGTGTGGGGGCAGACACAAACCACGTGACACACACCACGTCACACACTACACACACGTCACACACCACGTGACACACCAACCACGTGACACACTACACACGTGACACAAACCACGTGACACACACCACGTCACACACTACACACACGTCACACACCACGTGACACACAAACCACGTGACACACACACCACGTCACACACAAACCACGTGACACACAAACCACGTGACACACAAACCACGTGACACACAAACCACGTGACACACAAACCACGTGACACACAAACCACGTCACACACTACACACGTGACACAAACCACGTGACACACCAACCACGTCACACACTACACACACGTCACACACCAAGTGACACACACACACACCACGTGACACACACCACACACACGTCACACACCACACACGTGACACACACCACACACACACCACGTGACACACACACCACGTGACACACACACACAACGCGACACACACACGTGACACACCACACTTCACACACCACGTGACACACAAACCACGTGACGCACACACACCACATGACACACCACACACTTCACACCACGTGGCACACCTCGTGACACAGACCACGTTACACACCACGTGACACACCACGTGACACGCGTCACACCACACACACGTCACACCACACACATGTCACACCACACACACGTCACACTACACACACGTCACACCACACACACTATACCACACACACACACCGAACACACATCACACCACACGTCACACACCACGTGACACACCACACACACGTCACACCACACACACGTGACACACCACACACACGTCACACCACACACACGTCACACCACACACGTCACAACACACACCACACACACGTCACACCACACACGTCACAACACACACACCACGTGACACACGTTACACCACACACACGTCACACTACACACACACGTCACACTACACACACACACGTCACACCGCACACACGTCACAACACACACGTCACACTACACACACGTCACACTACACACACGTCACACACACACACGTCACACTACACACACGTTACACACACGTCACACTACACACACATCACACCACACACACGTCACACTACACACACCCTACACACACGTCACACCACACACACGTTACACTACACACACGTCACACACACACAGTACATCATCTGATCCGTACCGTATCTGTACCGTGTCATCTCATCTGTACCATATGAACCATATCACCTCATCTGTATCATCTCATCTGTACCGTATGAACCATATAATCTGTATCGTATGAACCATATCACCTCATCTGTATCATCTCATCTGTACCGTGTCATCTCATCTGTACCGTATGAACCATATCATCTCATCTGTACCGTGTGCACCATATCTGTACCGTATGCACCATATCATCTCGTCTGTATCGTATGAACCATATAATCTCATCTGTATCATCTCATCTGTACCGTGTGCACCATATCGTCTGTACAGTATGAACCATATCTGTACCATATGAACCATATCGTCTCATCTGTACCGTACCATCTGTACCATGTGCACCATATCGTCTGTACAGTATGAACCATATCGTCTGTACCGTATGCACCATATCTCATCTGTACAGTACCATCTGTAGTTTACCGTCTGTAGTGACAAGGAGGGTGACAGGGAGAGTGACAAGTTCCCAGCAAGACAAATACGCGCCAAAAGCAAACACCCCACCATCACCATCACCACCATCACCACAATCACCACCATCATCACCACCACCATCACAATCACCACCACCATCACAATCATCATCACCACCATCATCCTCACAACCATCACCACAATCACCATCATCCCCACCACCACCATCATTACCACCATCACCACAATCACCACCATCCCCACCACCACCATCACCACCACCACAATCACCACCACCACCATCACTATCATCACCACCACCACCATCACCACGATCACCATCATCACTACCATCACCACCACCACCATCACCACGATCACCATCATCACTACCATCACCATCACCACCACCATCACTACCATCACCACCACCATCACCACCATCTCCACCACCACTATCACCATAATCACCATCACCACCACCATCACCACCACCACCACCACTATCACCACCATCACCACCATCATCATCACCATTACCACCATCACCACCATCACCACCACCATCATCACGACCATCACCACCATCACCATCACAATCACCACCATCACCACGATCACCATCACCACGATCACCATCACCACCACCAACATCACTACCATCACTACCACCACCATCACCACCATCACCACCACCACCATCACTACCATCACCACCACCATCACTACCATCACCACCACCACCATCTCCACCACCACTATCACCATAATCACCATCACCACCACCATCACCACCATCACCACGATCACCATCACCACGATCACCATCACCACGATCACCATCACCACGATCACCATCACCACCACCAACATCACTACCATCACCATCACCACCACCACTACCATCACCACCACCATCACTACCATCACCACCACCATCACCACCATCTCCACCATCACCACCACCATCATCACCATCACCACCACCACAATCACCATAATCACCATCACCACCATCATCATAAGCACCACCACCACCATCATCACAAGCACCACCATCACCACCACCACCATCATCACCATAATCACCACCACCATCATTACCACCATCCCCACCACCACAATCACCACCATCACCACCACCACAATCACCACCATCACCATCACCACCATCATTACCACCATCACCACCATCCCCACCACCACAATCACCACCATCACCACCACCACAATCACCACCATCACCACCATCACCACCACCACCATCATCACCACCATCATCACCATCATCACCACCATCACCACCACCATCACCACCACCACCATCACCACCATCACCATTACCATCACCACCACCATCACCACCACCATCACCACCACCATCACCACCACCATCATCATCACCACCATCACCATCATCACCACCACCACCACCACCATCATCACCACCACCATCACCACCATCACCACCATCACCACCACCACCATCACCACCACCATCATCACCACCATCACCACCACCATCATCACCACCCCTCCCTCCTTGTAAGGCAACGGAGAGTGAGTGAGGGAGTGAGTGAGTGAGGGAGTGAGTGAGTGAGGGAGTGAGTGAGGGAGTGAGTGAGGGAGTGAGTGAGTGAGTGAGGGAGTGAGTGAGGGAGTGAGGGGAGTGAGTGAGGGAGTGAGGGAGTGAGTGAGTGAGGGAGGGAGTGAGTGAGGGAGTGAGTGAGGGAGTGAGGGGAGTGAGTGAGGGAGTGAGGGAGTGAGTGAGGGAGTGAGGGAGTGAGTGAGTGAGGGAGTGTGCTTTGGTATACGCGGTGGTGGTGGTGTTGCCGGTGGTGGTGGTGTTGCCGGTGGTGGTGGTGTTGCCGGTGGTGGTGGTGGTGCCGGTGGTGGTGCCGGTGGTGGTGGTGTTGCCGGTGGTGGTGGTGTTGCCGGTGGTGGTGTTGCCGGTGGTGGTGGTGGTGGTGCCAGTGGTGTTGCCGGTGGTGTTGCCGGTGGTGGTGGTGCCGGTGGTGTTGCCGGTGGTGCCGGTGGTGGTGCCGGTGGTGGTGTTGCCGGTGGTGGTGGTGTTGCCGGTGGTGCCGGTGGTGGTGGTGATGGTGGTGGTGGTGGTGATGGTGGTGGTGGTGATGGTGGTGGTGGCTTCACAAACCTCTTGCCGTCTCCCGCTCCATCGACTCCCCGTGTCTCACCGCTCGAGACGCGGAGAGACAGAGCCAGAGACCGACAGAGTCTCACCACCACCACCACCAACACCTCGCGAGGAGGTCAAACAACTCCGCAAGACCGTCTTCCCCCAAGTTGAAAACAACCGCCCTTCCCGTACACGTGTCGTCCGCCAAAATGGCTTTTCGCTTGCCGTGGGACCCCGGGGATTACTCACATCGCCCCGTCGACTCTCGTCTCTCTCGAGACACGGAGAGAGAGAGAGAGACAGAGAGAGAGAGAGAGAGCCAGAGACCAAAAGAGTCCCACCACCACCACCACCGCCACTTGCGAGGAGGTCAAACAACTCCGTAAGACCGTCTTCCCCCAAGTTGAAAACCGCCTTTCCGTACACGTGTCGTCCGCTAAAATGGCTTTTCGCTTGCCGTGCACGCGACTCCCACCTCGCTCCATCGACTCAACCCACACTCCAACTCCAACCCCAACTCCAACCCCAACCCCAACTCCAACTCCAACCCCAACTCCAACCCCAACTCCAACCCCAACTCCAACTCCAACCCCAACTCCAACCCCAACCCCAACTCCAACCCCAACTCCAACTCCAACCCCAACCCCAACTCCAACCCCAACTCCAACCCCAACTCCAACTCCAACCCCAACTCCAACCCCAACTCCAACCCCAACTCCAACACCAACCCCAACCCCAACTCCAACTCCAACCCCCCCCGTGTCTCGCTCAGGACACGGAGAGAGAGAGAGAGAGACAGGGGGAAAGGCGTCCTTCGCGAGGGGGGAGTGGGTGGGTGGGTGGGTTATAACAGGTCCTCCGAAAGCGGTCTTCACGAAGTGGAGACTGGTGCTTTGTACCGTCCGCTAAAACGCTTTGGGGGGGGGGGGGGGGAAGGTTTCGTTCAACTCCATCGACTCACCAAAGACACGGAGAGTTCCTTGCGAGGTGGTGGGGTGGGTGGGGTGGAACGTGGTGGTAGTGGTGGTGGGTGTAGTGGTGGTTGTAGTGGTTGTAGTGGTGATGGTGGTGGTGGTAGTGGTGTGGTGGTGGTGTGGTGGTGGTAGTGGTGGTGGTGGTTGTGGTGGTGGTGGTGGTGGTTGTAGTGTGGTGGTGGTAGTGGTGGTGGTAGTGGTGGTGGTAGTAGTAGTAGTGGTGGTAGTGGTGGTGGGAGTGGTGGTGGTGGTGGTTGTGGTGGTGGTTGTGGTGGTAGTGGTGGTAGTGGTGTGGTGGTGGTAGTGGTTGTAGTGGTGGTGGTGGTGGTAGTGGTAGTGGTGGTGGTGGTTGTGGTGTGGTGGTGGTGGTGGTAGTGGTGGTGGTTGTGGTAGTGGTGGTGGTTGTGGTAGTGGTGGTAGTGGTGGTTGTGGTGGTAGTGGTGGTAGTGGTGGTTGTGGTGGTGGTAGTGGTGGTGGTGGTAGTGGTGGTGGTGGTAGTGGTGGTAGTGGTGGTGGTGGCTGTGGTGGTGGTAGCGGTGGTGGTAGCGGTGGTGGTAGCGGTGGTGGTGGTTGTGGTAGTGGTGGTGGTAGTGGTGGTGGCTGTGGTAGTGGTGGTGATAGTGGTGGCTGTGGTGGTGGTGGTGGTAGTGGTGGTGGTGGTAGTTGTGGTGCTGCTGTTGTGGTGGTGGCGGTGGTTGTGGTGGTGGTTGTGGTAGTGGTGGTAGTGGTGTGGTGGTGATGGTAGTGGTGGTGGTAGTGGTGGTGGTAGTGGTGGTGGTAGTGGTGGTAGTGGTGGTGGTAGTGGTGGTGGTAGTGGTGGTTGTGGTGGTGGTAGTGGTGGTGGTAGTTGTGGTGGTTGTGGTGGTGGTTGTGGTGGTGGTTGTGGTGGTTGTGCTGCTGTTGTGGTGGTGGTTGTGGTGGTGGTAGTAGTGGTAGTGGTGGTTGTGGTGCTGCTGTTGTGGTGGTGGTGGTTGTGGTGGTGGTGCTGCTGTTGTGGTGGTGGTGGTAGTGGTGGTGGTAGTGGTGGTGGTGGTGGTAGTGGTGGTAGTGGTGGTGGTAGTGGTGGTAGTGGTGGTGGTAGTGGTGGTGGTGGTAGTGGTGGTGGTGGTGGTTGTGGTGGTTGTGGTGGTGGTTGTGGTGCTGCTGTGGTGGTGGTGGTAGTGGTGGTGGTAGTTGTTGTTGTGGTGGTAGTGGTGTGGTGGTAGTAGTGGTGGTGGTTGTGGTGGTGGCGTCTCTCTCCCCGGCTCCCCCTCCCCCCACCATCTCTTCGCTCCGTCAGCAAGTACCACAAAAGAGCGTCCACCAACTTTGAACTTTGAACTTTGCCCGTGGCCGAGCGTCCGCTGTTGCCGCCGTCAACTTTCGCCTTCCGCCCGCGAACGGGCAAGCAAGCCTCAAGGGAAAACCTCCCAAGGTCATCCAACGTCCTCCCCTCCATCCATCCCCTCCATCCATCCCCTCCATCCATCCCCTCCATCCATCCCCTCCATCCATCCCCTCCATCCATCCCCTCCATCCATCCCCTCCATCCATCCCCTCCATCCATCCCCTCCTCCTCGTCTTGACACACACACACAAAAAAAATCGCAAACGCGACCACACCGCATCGCCAAACGCACAACCCCTCAAAGCTCCTCCTCACGGACGGAGCCTAGCCCCGACCACCGCCGCCGCGAGGGGCCTCGCCAAAGCCTGCCCAAGGCCCCCCTCCGTTGAGGCCCGCTCAAGGCCCACTTGGTCGAGGCCTTTGCACAAAAACCACACCCCCCACCCCCCCCCCCCGCCCCCCTATCCAGGGCGTGGTCCAGGCCCACCGAAGGGCCAGCCTAAGGCCCACTCAAGGAAAGATTGGGCCTTGTTCAAAGGCCTAGTCGAGGCTTACCCAAGTCCTGGTGCAGGCCTATCCAGGGCCCAGTTGAGGCCTATTTAAGGCCGATGTTGAGAACTACCACGAGTCCTAGTCCAGGCCTATGCAGGGCCTAGTTGAGGCCTACCCAAAGGGCTAGTCGAGGCCTACTAGAAGTAAGAGTCCAGGCCTATTCAAGGCATAGTTGAGGCCTATTTAAGGCCGATGTTGAGAACTACCAGAAGTCCTAGTCCAGGCCAATGCAAGGCCTAGTTGAGGCCTACTAGAAGTAAAAGTCAAGGCATAGTTGAGGCCTATTTAAGGCCGAGTTGAGAACTACCAGAAGTCCTAGTCCAGGCCTATGCAAGGCCTAGTTGAGGCCTACTAGAAAGTAAGAGTCCAGGCCTATTCAAGGCATAGTTGAGACATCCCAGTAGTCCGGGTCCAGGCCTACGCAAGGGACCAGGCTTACACAAGGGCTAGTTGAGGCCTACCAAAGGCCTAGTCGAGGCCTACTAGAAGTCCGAGTCCAGGCCTGCGCAAGGTATAGTTGAGGCCTAGTCGAGGCCTACTAGAAGTCCGCGTCCAAGCCTACGCAAGGCCTAGTCCAGGCCTGCGTAAGGTATAGTTGAGGCCTACCAGAAGTCCACGTCCAGGCATACGCAAGGCCTAGTCCAGGCCTGCGCAAGGTATAGTTGAGGCCTATTCAAGGCCTACTAGAAGTCCGAGTCCAAGCCTACGCAAGGCCTAGTCCAGGCCTGCGTAAGGTATAGTTGAGGCCTACCAGAAGTCCACGTCCAGGCCTACGCAAGGCCTAGTCCAGGCCTGCGCAAGGCATAGTTGAGGCCTATTCAGGGCCCAGTCGAGGCCTACTAGAAGTCCACGTCCAGGCCTACGCAAGGCCTAGTCCAGGCCTGCGCAAGGCATAGTTGAGGCCTATTCAGGGCCCAGTCGAGGCCTACTAGAAGTCCACGTCCAGGCCTACGCAAGGCATAGTTGAGGCCTATTCAGGGCCCAGTTGAGGCCTACTAGAAGTCCGCGTCCAGGCATACGCAAGGCCTAGTCCAGGCCTGCGCAAGGTAAAGTTGAGGCCTATTCAAGATTCAAGGCCTAGTCGAGGCCTACCAAAAGTCCGCGTCCAGGCCTGCGCAAGGCCCAGTCCAGGCTCACACAAGGCCTAGCGCCGAGGGCCCACCCAAGGCGCTGACGGAGGGAGCCGGCGGGGTGAGGCCTAGTTGAGGCCTACTAGAACGCAAGAGTCCGGGGCCTATTCAAGGCATAGTTGAGACATCCCAGTAGTCCGGGTCCGGGCCTACGCAAAGGCCCAGGCCTACGCAAGGGCTAGCTGAGGCCTACCAGAAGTCCGAGTCCAGGCCCACGCAAGGCCTGGTCCAGGCCGTTCCCCCGAGGGGCCTGCGGCGAGGGCCTCGAGACCGGGACGCACGGACGGCGAGACGGAGCGAGCGAGCGAGCGAGCGAGCGGGCGGGCGGGCGGGCGGAGCGATGGATGGATGGAGGAGCGCCGCTCCAATACCAAGACCGCAGCAGGGCAGGGGGGGTGTGGGCGGTGAAGGTGGGTGGGCGTGGGGGGCGGGGGAGAACTCTTGTCCGTGGGCTACCGGACGCACGACCAACGGGGGTTGGGGGCGGGGTTGGGGTGTGGGCGGAGCCGACGAATCGACCACGCGCGGAACGCTCCGCCACTGGGGCCCTGACCTTCCCACGGGCCCGCTGGCCGAACGTAGGCCGGACGTTCTCATTCGCTGGCCGGCTAGATGCTGCTGCTGCTGCTGCTGCTGATGCTGCTGATGCTGCTGATGATGCTGCTGATGCTGATGCTGCTGCTGGTGGTGGTGGTGGTAGACGGGGCTGTGCAGGCCGGACGAAGGCTCGCCACGGCCAAAAAAGCCGTAGGCGGCTCCTCCTCCTCCTCCTCCACCGCCTCCTCCTCCTCCGCCTCCTCCACCGCCTCCTCCTCCTCCGCCTCCACCGCCTCCTCCTCCTCCGCCTCCTCCGGCGGCAGCGGCGGCGGAGCCTCCGAAGGACGATGAAGCGGAAAACCCCTGTGGGTGGTGCTGCTGGTGCTGGTGCTGCTGCTGGTGGTGGTGCGGAGCCGATCCCAGCAGACCCAACGAGTGCCGGTAGGGGGCAGCCGCCGACGCCGACGACGCCGAAGACGCCGACGCCGATGCTCCTCGACCTCCGGCGGAAGCCGCCGGCCGGTGGTGCTGCTGCTGGTGGTGGTGGTGAGAACCGGACGGAGTCGAGAGGAGCGGAGGGCCGCCGACGGCGCCGGCGGCCCTGCCGGAGCCGCCGCTGCCGCTCTGCTGCTGCTGCTGGTGGTGGTGGTGTCGGTGGTGCTGGAGCGGCGAAGAGACACGCGGCTGCTGATGCTGCGGATGATGCTGCGGTGGCGGCTGCTGCTGAGGGTGATGCTGCTGCTGCTGCTGCTGCTGCTGCTGCGGGTGATGCTGGCGGTGGTGGCGGTGGTGGTGTCGGTATTGGCAGGTGGCCTTGTTGAGGACGTGGCTGACCTCGGCCGAGTCGTCGACGGGGAAAAGATGGCACAGCTGGGCGCCGACTGTGGGCTCAATCTCCTGCAGTGGGGGGGTGGTGGTGGTGGTGGGGGGTGGGAGGGTGAGTGGGTGGGTGGGTGAGTGGGTGGGTGGGTGAGTGGGTGGGTGGGTGAGTGGGTGGGTGAGTGAGTAAGTGGGTGGGTGAGTGGGTGAGTGGATGAGTGAGTGAGTGGGTGAGTGAGTGGGTGAGTGGGTGGGTGAGTGGGTGAGTGAGTGGGTGAGTGAGTGGGTGGGTGAGTGGGTGGGTGAGTGGGTGAGTGAGTGGGTGAGTGAGTGTGTGAGGGGGTGGGTGAGCGGGTGAGGGGGTGGGTGAGTGAGTGGGTGAGTGAATGGGTGAGTGGATGAGTGAGTGAGTGAGTGGGTGAGTGAGTGGGTGAGTGAGTGAGTGAGTGGGTGAGTGAGTGGGTGAGTGAGTGGGTAAGTGGATGAGTGAGTGAGTGGGTGAGTGAGTGAGTGAGTGGGTGAGTGAGTGAGTGGGTGAGTGAGTGAGTGAGTGGGTGAGTGAGTGGGTGAGTGAGTGAGTGTGTGAGTGGGTGAGTGAGTGAGTGGGTGAGTGAGTGGGTGAGTGAGTAAGTGGGTGAGTAAGTGGGTGGGTGAGTGGGTGAGTGAGTGAGTGGGTGAGTGGGTGGGTGAGTGAGTGAGTGAGTAAGTGGATGAGTGAGTAAGTGGGTGGGTGAGTGGGTGAGCGGGTGAATGAGTGAGTGAGTGGGTGAGTGAGTGAGTAAGTGAGTGAGTGGGTGAGTGAGTTGGTGAGTGGGTGCGTGAGTGGGGTGAGATGCATAGATCTGTTACGATACACATGTACACGCAAATCCACCCGCACACACACCCCCACCAACCTGCAATCATGCGCACAACATACACAAAGACAAATCTCTCCCAGGTAGCCTCAAGCAAGAGCCACCACCACCACCACCACAGTAATTTGAGGCTGAGCGGACCTAGGGGAGGACGCTACCTGACCATCTCGGCCGATCTTCACTGGCTTGCCGTCATTCCACGGGTTGTAGAGGTGGCACGTCTTGGTGAAAGACAGCTCCTGTCTATGTGGTACATAGATAGAGAGAGGGACACAGAGAGAGACACAGAGAGACACGGGTGGGTGAGTGGGTGGGTGGGTGGGTGAGTGGGTGGGTGAGTGAGTGAGTGAGTGGGTGAGTGGGTGGGTGAGTGGGTGGGTGAGTGGGTGGGTGGGTGAGTGGGTGGGTGAGTGGGTGAGTGAGTGGGTGAGTGGGTGGGTGGGTGAGTGGGTGAGTGGGTGAGGGGGTGGGTGGGTGAGTGAGTGGGTGAGTGAGTGGGTGAGTGAGTGAGTGGGTGAGTGAGTGGGTGAGTGGGTGAGTGAGTGAGTGGGTGAGTGAGTGGGTGGGTGAGTGAGTGGGTGAGTGAGTGGGTGAGTGAGTGGGTGGGTGAGTGAGTGGGTGGGTGAGTGGGTGGGTGGGTGAGTGGGTGGGTGAGTGGGTGAGTGGGTGGGTGGGTGAGTGGGTGAGTGGGTGAGTGGGTGAGGGGGTGGGTGGGTGAGTGAGTGGGTGAGTGAGTGGGTGAGTGAGTGGGTGAGTGAGTGGGTGAGTGGGTGAGTGAGTGAGTGAGTGGGTGAGTGAGTGGGTGGGTGAGTGAGTGGGTGAGTGAGTGGGTGAGTGAGTGGGTGGGTGAGTGAGTGGGTGGGTGAGTGAGTGGGTGGGTAAGTGAGTGAGTGGGTGAGTGAGTGAGTGAGTGGGTGGGTGAGTGGGTGGGTGAGTGAGTGGGTGGGTGGGTGAGTGAGTGGGTGGGTGAGTGAGTGGGTGGGTGAGTGAGTGGGTGAGTGAGTGAGTGGGTGAGTGAGTGAGTGAGTGGGTGAGTGGGTGAGTGAGTGGGTGGGTGAGTGGGTGGGTGGGTGAGTGGGTGAGTGAGTGGGTGGGTGAGTGAGTGGGTGGGTGAGTGGGTGAGTGAGTGGGTGGGTGAGTGGGTGGGTGAGTGGGTGAGTGGGTGAGTGAGTGGGTGAGTGAGTGGGTGAGTGAGTGGGTGAGTGAGTGAGTGGGTGGGTGAGTGAGTGGGTGGGTAAGTGAGTGGGTGAGTGAGTGAGTGGGTGGGTGAGTGAGTGAGTGGGTGGGTGAGTGGGTGGGTGAGTGAGTGGGTGGGTGAGTGAGTGGGTGGGTGAGTGAGTGGGTGGGTGAGTGAGTGGGTGAGTGAGTGAGTGGGTGAGTGAGTGAGTGGGTGAGTGGGTGAGTGAGTGAGTGAGTGGGTGAGTGGGTGGGTGGGTGAGTGAGTGGGTGGGTGAGTGGGTGAGTGGGTGGGTGAGTGAATGGGTGAGTGAGTGGGTGATTGAGTGAGTGAGTGAGTGGGTGGGTGAGTGGGTGGGTGGGTGGGTGAGTGAGTGAGTGGGTGGGTGAGTGAGTGGGTGAGTGAGTGGGTGGGTGGGTGAGTGAGTGGGTGGGTGGGTGAGTGAGTGGGTGGGTGAGTGAGTGGGTGGGTGGGTGGGTGAGTGAGTGAGTGGGTGAGAGTGAATGAGTGAGTGAGTGAGTGGGTGAGTGGGTGGGTGAGTGAGTGGGTGGGTGAGTGAGTGGGTGAGTGAGTGGGTGGGTGAGTGGGTGGGTGAGTGGGTGAGTGAGTGGGTGAGTGAGTGGGTGGGTGAGTGAGTGGGTGAGTGAGTGGGTGAGTGAGTGGGTGAGTGGGTGGGTGAGTGGGTGAGTGAGTGGGTGAGTGGGTGGGTGGGTGAGTGGGTGGGTGAGTGGGTGAGTGAGTGGGTGAGTGAGTGGGTGGGTGAGTGAGTGGGTGAGTGAGTGGGTGAGTGAGTGGGTGAGTGGGTGGGTGAGTGGGTGAGTGAGTGGGTGAGTGGGTGGGTGGGTTCAGTGTTAATCACTGAGACTCATAGAACCAGACTAAGGCTCCCCAGGGTTCAGTGTTAATCACTGAGACTCACAGAGCCAGACTAAGGCTCACACAGGGTTCAGTGTTAATCTGTGAGCCAGACTGAGGCTCACTGAGGCTCACTGAGGCTCCCACAGGGCTCACTGAGGCTCACCGAGGTTCACTGAGGCTCACTGAGGCTCACCGAGGTTCACTGAGGCTCACTGAGGTTCACTGAGGCTCACTGAGGCTCACTGAGGCTCACTGAGGCTCACTGAGGCTCACTGAGCCTCACTGGGGCTCACTGAGGCTCACTGAGGCTCACTGAGGTTCACTGAGGTTCACTGAGGCTCACTGAGGTTCACTGAGGCTCAGTGAGGCTCACTGAGGTTCACTGAGGCTCACTGAGGTTCACTGAGGCTCAGTGAGGCTCACTGAGGTTCACTGAGGTTCACTGAGGTTCACTGAGGCTCACTGAGGTCCACTGAGGCTCACTGAGGTTCACTGAGGTTCACTGAGGCTCACTGAGGTTCACTGAGGCTCACTGAGGTTCACCGAGGTTCACTGAGGCTCACTGAGGCTCACTGAGGCTCACTGAGGTTCACTGAGGTTCACTGAGGCTCACTGAGGTTCACTGAGGCTCAGTGAGGCTCACTGAGGTTCACTGAGGCTCACTGAGGTTCACTGAGGCTCAGTGAGGCTCACTGAGGTTCACTGAGGTTCACTGAGGTTCACTGAGGCTCACTGAGGTTCACTGAGGCTCACTGAGGTTCACTGAGGCTCACTGAGGTTCACTGAGGTTCACTGAGGCTCACTGAGGTTCACTGAGGCTCACTGAGGTTCACTGAGGTTCACTGAGGCTCACTGAGGTTCACTGAGGCTCACTGAGGTTCACTGAGGCTCACTGAGGTTCACCGAGGTTCACTGAGGCTCACTGAGGTTCACTGAGGTTCACTGAGGCTCACTGAGGTTCACTGAGGCTCACTGAGGTTCACTGAGGCTCACTGAGGTTCACTGAGGCTCACTGAGGTTTACTGAGGCTCACTGAGGCTCACTGAGGCTCACTGAGGCTCACTGAGGTTCACTGAGGCTCCCACATGGTTCAGTGTGGTCAATGAGGCTCCCACAGGGCTCGCTGAGGCTCAGTGAGGCTCAGTGAGGCTCAGTGAGCCTCCCACTGTACCTGCAAAGCCAGTCGACCCTAAAGACTCCTCCGAGCGCACGAGCGCTAAGACCGGACGGCAGCATCCAGGGCACGGGCGAGCCTCCATGCCGAGACTCGGAGCAGAGACGGGCGAAGCCTGGAGACACGGGGAGACACGGGGAGACACGGGGAGACACGGGGAGACACGGGGAGACAGGGAGAGAGAGTCATGGCGAGCCTCCGTGCCGAGACTCGGAGCAGAGACGGGCGAAGCCTGGAGACACGGGGAGACGCGGGGAGACGCGGGGAGACACACGGGGAGACACACGGGGAGACACGGGGAGACACAAGGGGAGACACGGGGAGACACGGGGAGACACACGGGGAGACAGGGGGAGACACGGGGAGAGAGACAGGGGGAGACACGGGGAGAGAGACACGGGGAGACACGGGGAGAGAGACAGGGGGAGACACGGGGAGACAGGGGGAGACAGGGGGAGACACGGGGAGACAGGGGGAGACACACGGGGAGACACGGGGAGATAGGGGGAGACACGGAGACACGGGGAGACACGGGGAGACACGGGGAGACACGGGGAGACGCGGGGAGACACGGGGAGACACGGGGGAGACACGGGAAGACAGGGGGAGACAGGGGGAGACACGGTGAGACACGGGGAGACACGGGGAGACACGGGGAGACACACGGGGAGACACGGGGAGACACGGGGAGACACACGGGGAGACAGGGGGAGACACGGGGAGAGAGACACGGGGAGACACGGAGAGACACGGGGAGACACGGGGAGACACGGGGAGACACGGGGAGAGAGACACGGGGAGACACGGGGAGAGAGACACGGGGAGAGAGAGACACGGGGAGAGAGACACGGGGAGAGAGACACGGGGAGACACGGGGAGAGAGACACGGGGAGAGAGACACGGGGAGAGAGACACGGGGAGAGAGACATGGAGAGAGAGACACGGGGAGACACGGGGAGAGAGACACGGGGAGAGAGAGACACGGGGAGAGAGACACGGGGAGAGAGAGACACGGGGAGAGAGACACGGGGAGACACAGTGAGAGAGAGACACAGAGAGAGAGACACGGGGAGAGAGACACGGGGAGAGAGACACGGGGAGAGAGACACGGGGAGAAAGACACGGGGAGAGAGACACGGGGAGAGAGACACGGGGAGAGAGACACGGGGAGAGAGACACGGGGAGAGAGACACGGGGAGAGAGACACGGGGAGAAAGACACGGGGAGAGAGACACGGGGAGAGAGACACGGGGAGAGAGACACGGGGAGAGAGACACGGGGAGAGAGACATGGGGAGAGAGACACGGGGAGAAAGACACGGGGAGAGAGACACGGGGAGAGAGACATGGAGAAAGAGACACGGGGAGACACGGGGAGAGAGACACGGGGAGAGAGACATGGGGAGACACGGGGAGAGAGAGATGAGGAGTGATGAGGTGTGATGATGAGGTGTGATGAGGTGTGATGATGATGTGTGATGAGGTGTGATGATGAGGTGTGATGATGAGGTGTGATGATGAGGTGTGAGTGACTTGCCCTGGAACTTGCCGCTCTCCCTGACGGAGTAAACGAGGATCACCGATGAGGTGACAGTGATGAGGTGTGATGATGAGGTGTGATGATGAGGTGTGATGATGAGGTGACAGTGATGAGGAGTGATGAGGTGTGATGATGAGGAGTGATGATGAGGTGTGATGATGACTTGCCCTGGAACTTGCCGCTCTCCCTGACGGAGTAAACGAGGATCACCGATGAGGTGACAGTGATGAGGAGTGATGATGAGGTGTGATGATGAGGTGTGATGATGAGGTGTGATGATGAGGTGTGATGAGGTGTGATGATGAGGTGTGATGATGAGGTGTGATGAGGTGTGATGATGAGGTGTGATGATGAGGTGTGACGAGGTGACAGTGATGAGGTGTGATGATGAGGAGTGATGATGAGGTGTGATGATGACTTGCCCTGGAACTTGCCGCTCTCCCTGACGGAGTAAACGAGGATCACCGATGAGGTGACAGTGATGAGGAGTGATGATGAGGTGTGATGATGAGGTGTGATGATGAGGTGTGATGATGAGGTGTGATGATGAGGTGTGACGAGGTGACAGTGATGAGGTGTGATGATGAGGAGTGATGATGAGGTGTGATGATGACTTGCCCTGGAACTTGCCGCTCTCCCTGACGGAGTAAACGAGGATCACCGATGAGGTGACAGTGATGAGGAGTGATGATGAGGTGTGATGATGAGGTGTGATGATGAGGTGTGATGATGAGGTGTGATGATGAGGTGTGATGATGAGGTGTGATGAGGTGTGATGATGAGGTGTGATGATGAGGTGTGACGAGGTGACAGTGATGAGGTGTGATGATGAGGAGTGATGATGAGGTGTGATGATGACTTGCCCTGGAACTTGCCGCTCTCCCTGACGGAGTAAACGAGGATCACCGATGAGGTGACAGTGATGAGGAGTGATGATGAGGTGTGATGATGAGGTGTGATGATGAGGTGTGATGATGAGGTGTGATGATGAGGTGTGATGATGAGGTGTGATGATGAGGTGTGATGATGAGGTGTGATGATGAGGTGTGAGTGACTTGCCCTGGAACTTGCCGCTCTCCCTGACGGAGTAAACGAGGATCACCGATGGGAAGTCCCGGAAGGATGAGTTCAGTTTCCTCTCGTTGGCGGGAAGAGTGGACCACACTCCCTGGGAGACACACGCAGACACACACAGACACAGTGAGACAGAGAGACACAGAGAGACACAGGGAGAGAGACACACACAGACACACACAGACACACACAGAGACACTCCCTGGGAGACACACGCAGACAGACACAGACACACAGTGAGACACAGACACACACAGTGAGACACAGAGACACAGACACACACAGAGACACAGAGTGAAACGCAGAGAGACACAGACACAGTGAGACACACAGAGACACAGTGAGACACAGACACACACAGAGACACAGTGAGACACAGACACACGTAGAGAGACACAGTGAGACACAGACACACACAGAGACACAGTGAGACACAGACACGTAGAGAGACACAGTGAGACACACACTCCCTGGGAGACACACGCAGACACACACAGTGAGACACAGTGAGACACAGTGAGACACACACTCCCTGGGAGACACACGCAGACACACACAGTGAGACACAGTGAGACACACACTCCCTGAGAGACACACGCAGACACACACAGACACACAGTGAGACAGAGAGACACAGAGACACACAAAGAGAGACACAGAGACACACAGACACACACAGAGACACACAGAGACACAGTGAGACACAGACACACAGAGTGAGACACACACTCCCTGGGAGACACACGCAGACACACACAGACACACAGTGAGACACAGAGACACAGTGAGACACAGAGACACACGCAGACACACACAGAGACACAGTGAGACAGAGTGAGACACAGTGAGACACAGACACACACAGAGACACAGTGAGACACAGACACACACAGTGAGACACACACAGAGACACACAGACACACACAGAGACACTCCCTGGGAGACACACGCAGACAGACACAGACACACAGTGAGACACAGAGACACACACAGAGAGACACACAGTGAGACAGTGAGACACAGTGAGACACAGACACACACAGAGACACAGTGAGACACAGACACACACAGACACACACAGAGACACTCCCTGGGAGACACACGCAGACAGACACAGACACAGTGAGACACAGAGACACACACAGACACACACAGAGACACACACAGAGACACACAGACACACAGTGAGACAGAGAGACACAGAGACACAGTGAGACACAGAGAGACATAGACACACGTAGAGAGACACACAGTGAGACAGTGAGACACAGTGAGACACAGACACACACAGAGACACTCCCTGGGAGACACACGCAGACAGACACAGACACACAGTGAGACACAGAGACACACACAGACACACACAGAGACACACACAGAGACACACAGACACACAGTGAGACACAGAGACACACGCAGACAGACACAGACACACAGTGAGACACAGAGACACAGAGAGACACAGACACACAGAGTGAAACGCAGAGAGACACAGACACAGTGAGACACACAGAGACACAGTGAGACACAGACACACACAGTGAGACACACACTCCCTGGGAGACACACGCAGACAGACACAGACACACAGTGAGACACAGAGACACACACAGACACACACAGAGACACAGTGAGACACACACAGACACACACAGACACACACAGAGACACACAGAGACACTCCCTGGGAGACACACGCAGACAGACACAGACACACAGTGAGACACAGTGAGACACAGAGAGACACAGTGAGACAGAGAGACACAGAGACACACAGTGAGACACACACAGAGACACACGCAGAGAGACACAGAGACACAGTGAGACACACACAGAGACACAGAGACACAGTGAGACACACAGTGAGACAGTGAGACACAGAGACACACAGTGAGACACAGAGACACACACAGAGACACACAGAGACACAGTGAGACACAGAGAGACACAGAGAGACACAGAGACACACAGAGACACACACAGAGACACACGCAGAAAGACACACGCAGAAAGACACACACAGAGACACACAGACACACAGAGACACACACAGAGACACACACAGAGACACACAGAGACACACACAGAGACACACAGACACACACAGACACACACAGAGACACACACAGAGACACACAGAGACACACACAGTGAGACACACGCAGAGAGACACAGAGACACAGTGAGACACAGTGAGACACAGAGACACACACAGACACACAGTGAGACAGAGAGACACAGAGACACAGTGAGACAGAGAGACACACAGAGACACAGTGAGACACAGAGACACAGAGAGACACAGCCACACACAGAGACACAGTGAGACACACAGTGAGACACACACACAGAGAGACACACAGTGAGACAGTGAGACACAGAGACACAGTGAGACGCACGCAGAGAGACACAGAGACACAGTGAGACAGAGAGACTCAGAGACACAGTGAGACACAGAGACACAGAGAGACACAGACACACACAGAGACACAGTGAGACGCACACAGAGACACAGTGAGACAGAGATACACAGAGACACAGAGAGACACAGAGAGACACAGACACACAGAGACACAGTGAGACAGTGAGACACACAGTGAGACACACACACAGAGAGACACACAGTGAGACAGTGAGACACAGAGACACAGTGAGACGCACGCAGAGAGACACAGACACACGCAGAGAGACACAGAGACACAGTGAGACACAGTGAGACACAGACACACAGTGAGACACAGAGACACAGAGAGACACAGACACACAGAGACACAGTGAGACAGTGAGACACACAGTGAGACACACACAGAGAGAGACACAAGTGAGACAGTGAGACACAGTGAGACGCACGCAGAGAGACACAGAGACACAGTGAGACAGAGAGACACAGAGACACAGTGAGACACAGAGACACAGAGAGACACAGACACACACAGAGACACAGTGAGACAGTGAGACACAGTGAGACACACACAGAGACACACAGTGAGACAGTGAGACAGAGACACAGTGAGACGCACGCAGAGAGACACAGACACACACAGAGAGACACAGAGACACAGTGAGACACAGAGACACAGAGACACAGTGAGACACACAGAGACACAGTGAGACACACGCAGACAGACACACAGACACGCAGAGAGACACAGAGACACAGTGAGACAGTGAGACACACAGACACAGTGAGACACACGCAGAGAGACACACGCAGTGAGACACAGAGACACAGTGAGACATGCAGTGAGACACAGTGAGAGACACAGAGAGACACACAGAGAGACACACAGAGACACACAGAGAGACACACAGAGACACACACAGTGAGACACACAGAGAGACACACAGAGACACACAGTGAGACACACACAGTGAGACACAGTGAGACAGTGAGACACACAGAGACACAGTGAGACACAGTGAGACACACACAGAGACACAGAGACACACACAGAGACACACAGTGAGACACACACAGAGACACACAGTGAGACACACACAGAGACACAGAGTGAGACACACACAGAGACACACAGTGAGACACACTGAGACACACGCAGTGAGACACACACACAGTGAGACACAGAGACACACACAGAGACACACAGTGAGACACAGTGAGACACACAGTGAGACACACACAGTGAGACACACAGAGACACACACAGACACACAGAGACACACAGAGACAAACATACAGACACACACAGAGACACACACAGACACACACAGTGAGACACACACAGTGAGACACAGAGACACACAGAGACACACAGAGACACACAGACACACACAGAGACACACGGTGAGACAGTGAGACACGCAGAGACACACACAGTGAGACACACAGAGACACACAGAGACACGCACAGAGACACACACACAGTGACACACACAGAGACACAGAGAGACACACACAGTGAGACACAGAGACACACAGAGACACAGAGAGACACACAGTGAAACACACACAGAGACACACACAGAGACACACACAGAGACACACACAGAGACACATACAATGAGACACACACAGAGACACACAGAGACACACACAGTGAGACACAGTGAGACACACAGATAGACACAGAGAGACACCGTGTCTCTCTCTCTCCCCGTGTCTCTCTCCCCGTGTCTCTCTCTCCCCGTGTCTCTCTCTCTCCGTGTCTCTCTCTCTCCCCATGTCCCCCCGTGTCTCTCTCCCCGTGTCTCTCTCTCCCCGTGTCTCTCTCTCCCCGTGTCTCTCTCCCCGTGTCTCTCTCTCCCCGTGTCTCTCTCTCTCCCCGTGTCTCTCTCTCCCCGTGTCTCTCTCTCCCCGTGTCTCTCTCTCCCTCCGTGTCTCTCTCTCTCCCCGTGTCTCTCTCTCCCCGTGTCTCTCTCTCTCCCCGTGTCTCTCTCTCCCCGTGTCTCTCTCTCTCCCCGTGTCTCTCTCCCCCCGTGTCTCTCTCTCTCCCTGAGTCTCTCTCTCTCCCCGTGTCTCTCTCCCCATGTCTCTCTCTCTCCCCATGTCTCTCTCTCCCCGTGTCTCTCTCTTCCCGTGTCTCTCTCTCTCTCCCCGTGTCTCTCTCTCTCCCCGTGTCTCTCTCCCCGTGTCTCTATCTCTCCCCGTGTCTCTCTCCCCGTGTCTCTATCTCTCCCCGTGTCTCTATCTCTCCCCGTGTCTCTCTCACCGTGTCTCTCTCACCGTGTCTCTCTCCCCGTGTCTCTCTCCCCGTGTCTCTCTCTCCCCGTGTCTCGCTCTCCCCGTCTCTCTCTCTCCCCGTGTCTCTCTCTCCCCGTGTCTCTCTCTCTCCCCGTGTCTCTCTCTCTCCCCATGTCTCTCTTCCCGTGTCTCTCTCTCTCTCCCCGTGTCTCTCTCTCCGTGTCTCTCTCTCCCCCCGTGTCTCTCTCTCCCCGTGTCTCTCTCTCTCCCCGTGTCTCTCTCTCTCCCCATGTCTCTCTTCCCGTGTCTCTCTCTCTCTCCCCGTGTCTCTCTCTCTCTCCGTGTCTCTCTCTCTCTCCCCGTGTCTCTCTCTCCCCGTGTCTCTCTCTCCCCGTGTCTCTCTCTCTCCGTGTCTCTCTCTCCCCGTGTCTCTCTCTCCCCGTGTCTCTCTCTCTCCCCGTGTCTCTCTCTCTCTCCCCGTGTCTCTCTCCCCGTGTCTCTCTCTCCCCGTGTCTCTCTCTCTCCCCGTGTCTCTCTCTCTCCCCGTGTCTCTCTCTCCCCGTGTCTCTCTCCCTGTGTCTCTCTCTCCCCCGGTGTCTCTCTCCCCGTGTCTCTCTCTCTCCCCGTGTCTCTCTCCCCGTGTCTCTCTTCCCGTGTCTCTCTCCCCGTGTCTCTCTCTCTCCCCGTTTCTCTCTCCCTGTGTCTCTCTCTCCCCGTGTCTCTAACTCCCCGTGTATCTCTCCCCGTGTCTCTCTCTCTCCCCATGTCCCCCCGTGTCTCTCTCCCCGTGTCTCTCTCTCTCCCTGTGTCTCTCTCTCCCCGTGTCTCTCTCTTCCCGTGTCTCTCTCCCTGAGTCTCTCTCTCTCCCCGTGTCTCTCTCTCCCTGTGTCTCTCTCTCCCCGTGTGTCTCTCTCTCTCCCCGTGTCTCTCTCTCCCCGTGTGTCTCTCTCTCCCCGTGTGTCTCTCTCTCTCCCCGTGTCTCTCTCTCCCCGTGTCTCTCTCTCTCCCCGTGTCTCTCTCTCCCCGTGTCTCTCTCCCCGTGTCTCTTTCTCTCCCCATGTCCCCCCGTGTCTCTCTCCCCGTGTCTCTCTCACCTTGGCTTTAGAGAGAGCGACATTCTCATAATTGTTACTTTTGATCAGGAAGAATTTTGCATCCTCCAGAAGCTGTCTCAGGCGAGAAGTCACATCTGCCGCACCAACACCATCATCATCATCAGTAGTAGTAGTATCATCATCATCAGTAGTAGTAGTATCATCATCAGTAGTAGTATCATCATCATCAGTAGTAGTATCATCATCATCAGTAATAGTATCATCATCAGTAGTAGTATCATCATCAGTAGTAGTATCATCATCAGTAGTAGTATCATCATCATCAGTAGTAGTATCATCATCATCAGTAGTAGTATCATCATCATCAGTAGTGGTATCATCATCATCAGTATTATCATCATCATCATCAGTAGTAGTATCATCATCATCAGTAGTAGTATCATCATCATCAGTAGTAGTATCATCATCAGTAGTAGTATCATCATCATCATCAGTAGTAGTATCATCATCAGTAGTAGTAGTAGCAGCATCATCATCAGTAGTAGTATCATCATCATCAGTAGTAGTATCATCAGTAGTAGTATCATCATCATCATCATCAATAGTAGTAGTATCATCATCAGTAGTAGTATCATCATCAGTAGTAGTATCATCATCATCATCAGTAGTAGTAGTATCATCATCATCATCAGTAGTAGTAGTATCATCATCAGTAGTAGTATCATCAGTAGTAGTAGTATCATCATCATCATCATCAGTAGTAGTAGCATCATCATCAGTAGTAGTATCATCACCACCACCACCATCACCACCATCATCATCATCACCACCACCATCATCATCATCACCACCACCATCACAATCATCATCACCACCACCATCACCATCATCACCACCACCACCACCATCATCACCACCACCATCACCACCATCACCACCACCATCATCACCACCATCACCACCATCACCACCACCACCATCACCACCATCACCACCACCATCATCACCACCATCACGGTGCCAGCCTCACCTCTTCGCACGGCACGAACTGACGATGGCAACTTCTCCTTGTGACTCTTCCTCGAGTCTACACAGCGAGACACACACACACACAGTGACACACACACAGTGACACACACACACAAAGACAAAGATCCCCCATATAGCCTTAACAGACTGTAGGGGCAAGTGCTGTTAGCGAGCACCTATGAAGGCCGGAACGGTACACGAGGGGGTGGGTGGCCAGCACCACGCCCGACCGCCTTTGTCTCCCTAGTGGCAATGTTTACACACCGCACCAGGTACTCATTTGAGGCTGAGTCGACCTAGGGGAGGCCAAGGAACCGGTTCAGATAATCGTCAATGGTGTTGGCCGTGAGCGGGAATCGAACCCGGGTCGCCAGGGTCATAGCGCAGCGTAGCGCTAACCGCTACACTATCGCTCCCCACACACACACACAGTGACACACACACAGTGACACACACAGTGACACACACAGTGACACACACACAGTATCACACACACAGTGACACAACAACCGCCATTCGCCACTAAGTGGCGGTGACGTCACCACGACGCTTGTGCCAGGCTATGTGCACCCTGAGGCCACGTGAAGTGTCGAACGCCCGCTGGCAGGAGGTCACGGGGCAGACCCAGCAGGTGCCACAGGTCGACTGACTGAGATGACTGGCTGATGCACCACCTGTGCCCCCTACTGTGCCAACCTGCTGTGCTTTAGCCACCCGGCGCTCCGCTCGTTGTTCTGAGCGTCGCTCCTCCGCCCTCCGTTGTTGTTGGAGGGCGACTGCCTCCAACTGCCCAGTAGCGTCCTTCACGAGCCTCCTCCACAGAGGCCGATCTTGACACCGCTGGTACCAGTCATCGGCAAGTCCACTCAGCTCCACGTCCTCCTGTACCACATCACTCCATCTCTTCTCTAGCCCGTGCCGCGCCCGCTTAGCCCCCTCAATCCGGCCGACCAAAAGCTGTTTCGGCATGCGGTGGCTGGGCATGCGGGCTACATGACCCAGCCATCGCAGCCTTGCCTGCCAGAGGAGCTCACCGATGGGACCCTGCCCAGATCTTTCAAGGATTTGTGAGCTCCTCACACAATCCAGTCTGGTTAAACCCAGGATGGATCGTAGGCAGGCCAGCCTAAATGTTTCTAACCGGCGAAGATGTTCCATTAGGGGGGTCCACGTTTCGCAAGCGTAGAGAAGGGAGGGAATGACCGTGGCCGAGAAGACCTGAAGCTTAGTGCGGAGCGACAGACCAGGTAGCTTCCACACAGCGTTACGCAACCGATGAAAAGATATTGCCGCTCGACTGATTCGGAGTGAGACCTCTGCTGTTAAACTGGAGCCAGTCATAAGCACACTGCCCAGGTATGGGAAAATCTCCACTCTCTTCACAACTGCCCCATCACCGATTGGGAGTTGTGGGGGTGGAGTGTCCGATGGTACAAAATACCCAGGCAGGTGCTTAGTTTTGGTGGGGCTGATGGTAAGGCCCCACCTCTTAGTGGCACGCTCCAGTCTCAGCAGCAGCGTCTCCAACTCCTCCTCTGACTGAGCAGCTATTACCAAATCATCAGCATACATAACGTGGTTGAGCAATAGGGAGCCATCCCTTGACCGCACCCGGGCATCGATTAGCCTCCCATTATATCTGTACCATATGGAGATTCCCCCGGTACAGCTATTGAAGGCTTCACGAACTACGTGGTCAAAATAGATGTTAAATAATGTGGGAGCCAGAGGACATCCCTGTCGCACCCCAAGGTGTACAGGGAATGGCTCTGACTCCCGGCCACGTAGTTTTACCCGGGCCCGCTCACCATCATGAAGGTCCTTAATGATCGTGAGCAGAGGGTCAGGTACTCCAAAAGCACGAAGAACGACCCAGAGCCCAGGCCTACTGATGGTATCATAGGCCTTGACCAGGTCAATAAAGCAGAGATGTAGGTCTTGTTGGAATTCCCTACACCTCTGCTGTAGCAAACGGACAGAAAATATGGCATCTGTGCAGGACCGCCCTTTCCTGAAACCGCATTGGGGCTCCGCAAGCCTCTCCTCAGCGTGCCTGGCAAGGCGATGCTGAATAATCCTTGCCAGGACCTTTCCCGGCACACTGAGGAGTGAGATGCCCCTGTAGTTGTTACAGTCTGTGCGGTCCCCCTTCTTAAAAAGGAGGACCACCAGGGCATCCTTCCAATCCTGCGGAACCCGTCCAGTGGTCCAGACTGTTGTTATGATGTCATATAGGGCAGTCTGTGCACAAACGCCACCCTCCCTCAGCATTTCGCTTGGGAGATCATCTCTGCCCGCTGCCTTTCCTGGTCTCAGACTCCGGATCGCCTTCAATACTTCCTCAGCAGATGGCACCTCAGCCAGCCACTCACAGGGGGTGACTTCTTCCAATATTTGAGGCACCGCAGCCTCAGCAGGGTCATCCTCACTTTGTGCCACGATGTTTTCCTGGCTGAGGGATTTTCCCTCACCCAGGACCTCACAGAAATGCTCAGCAAATCTGCGAACCTGTTCCTGGGGGTCGGAGATTGGATCACCGTTTTTTCCCCTAATGATGGTAATAGGTGTGGCGCTGCAGGTTACTTTTTTGATGGAGTTAAATAGAGATTTGTGATCACGGGCCACTGAGGCAGACTCCATCTCCTCAGCAACCCGCGACCACCACCCATCCTTGCAGCGCCTCACGGCTCTCCGAACCTCTGAGCGAAGGCTGCGGTAAGCCTCCTCATTCTCTGACGTGGGACTCTGTAGCCGATGACAGTGGGCCTGACGCTTTTTCTCAACCATCCTGAACACCTCCTCTGTCAGCCAGGGTCTCTGGGGAGGTCTGGACCGCGTACCCAAAGCAGCCATTGCAGCTGCATGAGTCACAGTCCTAAACCTCGCCCATTTACCCTCGACATCAGGAGGAGTCGGGGACGATGCCAATCCCAGCCGCAAGCGATGATGAAATTCTCGCTTGCAACTTTCATCAGATAACTGAGACCAGACCACTTTATGTTGGAATGGGGTCCTGGGTGTACACCCACCACCGGAGT